TTTGCCACAGTTCTAACCCCTGTCCTCATCCTGGTGGTTTCCTCCCACTATCTGGGTCACCTTTGCTGGCTGTCTTCAAATACCACCTCTGAATCTGTGAGCACCAAAGCCCCTTGGGGACTAACCTGACATGGTAGGTCACACTGGTCAGTTCTAGGCCAGTGGTTTCTACTAAACAGCCATAGTCACATCTTGGGGCAGGTGCATGTCAACTCCCTCCAAAAATAAATAAATAAATAAAACCACCAGGGGACTGGAGAGATGATGGTGCAGAGGTTAGGAGCACTTGTTCTCGTAGAGGACCCACGTTTGGTTTTCAGAGCCCATATGATCTTTACAACCATCTATAGCTCCAGTTCCAGGGAATCAGGCATCCTCTTCTATTGTCCTCGGACACCAGGCATGAGTGTGGCACCCATGCAGCAAAGCACTCATGCACATAATAATAAAATAAATCCAAAAAAAAAAAAAAAAAGAAGAAGAAGAAGAAAGAAAGAAAGACAGGTTGCTGGGGCATTGATTGAAACCAGGTTAACTAGAATTGAAAAAGTGAGCTAAGGTGATAGCTGAAGGGCTTGTGGGCCACATGTGGTGATGGACACCTTGTGATCCTAGCACCCAGGAAGCTCAGCCAGGAGGATTGTGAGCACAAAGCTAGCTTGGGCTCTGCAGTGGCCTTGTCTCAAAAAGCCAGGGGCTGAGGGTGCACCTCAGTGGAGAAGTTTGCTTTGCACACACAGACCCCTGGGTTCCATCCCAGCACCCACCCACACCCACCCTCCCGCCACACACACAAAGACTCCAGCAATAGCTGGAACTTCTGCTTCTGTGAGTGAGATTCCTCATTTTTCCCATCAGGCCCTGCAGTTTCTCCGGAAGAATTCTGCTAAGTATCACTTCAGGCGCACCAAGATGTTGCCGGTGAGCGGTGGCTTCCATACCTGCCTCATGGAGCCGGCCGTGGAGCCCCTGGTGAGAATTCTAGACACGATTGACATCAAGAAGCCACTGGTCGCTGTCCACTCCAACGTCAGCGGACATAAATACATGCATCCCCAGCACATCCGGAAGCTGCTGGGGCAGCAGGTGGTGTCTCCGGTGAAGTGGGAGCAGACAATGCACTCTATCTACAAACGGAAGAAGGGCACTGAGTTCCCCAGCACCTTTGAGGTGGGTCCCGGGCGGCAGCTGGGAAGCATCCTCAAGAGCTGCAACGGGCAGGCATGGAAGTCCTACAGCCACGTGGACGTGATGCAGACCAGCATGGAACCTGATCACCAAGGGCCTTGAGTGGAATGGCCCCAGCGTGAGCCTCTCTACCTGCCCCCTTTCCTCAGACTAGAGGACAGTGGTCACTGCAGTCTCAGTTGTGACTAAGGCTTCCCTTGAAGCATTGCCCTCGAGTGCCACATTGTGTGACTCAACCCATCCCTACACCTGACAAGACATCTGGCTGCAGGGGGGGAGAATTCCTATGCAGACCACCTGCCCAGCCAGCACGCTGCTCTGCCTCTGCACCCAGCCATGCCCCTCAGTGAATCCAGCAAGGGCAAGCCTGGGGTAGCCTTAGACTTGCCCTGTTGGTGCTATGGACGCACTGCTTGGCTTCAAACCAGGCCTGGTGCCAGAGGGGCCCATCAGCCACGTGTTACGCTGCTCGCCCAGGGTTGAGGTCATAGCTTCTTTGGCCTTGAATCTGTCCAATGGCCTTGGCAGCCACTTTGTCCTTGCCTCACTTGACAGCTGAGAGATTGAGTGCCATATACTGTACATATCCAAGAAGCACATATTAAGTGCCTACTGTTTGCCCTAGAGTGGGTGGTCCCTCGTAGAAGAAAACTGGAGCGTGGTGTAAGGTGTGGGGTGTATCTAGGCAAGAAGGATGTCCTGGGATCCTGACTGCCCTAGGCCAGCCCCAGCACATCCATGGAGAGACCCCATCACCAAACTGTCCACTGGACAGTGGTCACTGCAGAATCAGCTATGTCTATGACTTCCCTCACAGCACAGCCTGCTCCACAGCAGGAGGTGAGTGAAGCTCCTGGGAGGACACATAATAAATGAGAGCCTTTTTAAGATGCCCAGCTGGCTTTCTCATTCAGTGATGCTGGGAGTCTTAGGATGGGAGTCCATGAACTTGTTCTGTTGTTGGGGAGACCTGCACTTAATCTGGACAGCCTTCTCAGTGAGGCTGTCAGCCTCCAGACAGGACTTGTTCTATTGCCCAACTGTCCCCATGTTTGTACAACTGTCCTTGGTCCTGGCCAGTGGTACTTTCAGGCCTTGTGACCTCCAGATGCCCTGTGGATTTCAACAGAAGTGCGAGTGTAGTTTGCAGCACCCCGAGTGAGCACATCCATCTAGCTGAGGCAGGAGAATGGCTTTAACTCTGAGCTTGACATCAAGCAGGCAGAGCAGTCTGTAAACGAGGATTCTGGACAGCCATCAGCATTTGCTTGTGCTCAGAAGCTTGTGCTCACCTCTCCTGAGCCCAGCATGAGATTGACCTGAACCAGGGCAATCCAGGTGACAGCACATGGGGCGTGGTCAGTCCCATCAAGCGTAATCACAAGACAGACCCCAGATGCTCCCACATCCTTATCACCTCAGGGAAGTTGCCCACTATCCCAGAACCCTCCATTCCTCCTTGGGCCTGCTGCAGTGGAGTGGCTTGAAGATTCCCAGACTGAAGCCACTGTGGTAATTGTGACAAGTCTCTGTCCCCACTCGTGAGCACTGGGGAGCAATCCCAGTTCTGCTGGTAACCAGGTCTGGTCTCACTGAAGAGTGAACCTGAAACATAGCTTGGGGTTGGGCTCGTGTTTAGTTTTGTGTCTTGAAAGAGGAGTACCCAAAGCAGGTGGCTTTTGTTCTAAACAGCATTTGTGGACACCCTAGAGGCCTGGGGCAGCTGGGACAGGGTGGGTGGTGACACCTACTGGGCTGGTGCCAACTCAGAAATACCCAAGGCCTGGGAGCTGAGGAAAGCCCAGAGAGGCGGGAGTGCAGGTGTTCTGGTGTGGCCTCAGGTTCAGGCTGCCTGGAGTGAGGTTCCAGCGGGAGGGTCGTAACTGCCTTGCTGAAGAGAGGACCTAGAGACTGCGGCCACGCAGCTAGGAGGCTCACTGAGGCCCTGGGGGCTGATGGTAGTCTAGGCCAAACACGGGTGTGAACTAACTGACATCTGCTCAGGCCAGGAAGGCCTTTTCCTGTCTCTGGAGCAGAGCTCATTCCGGCTGCTGCCATCTCCCCCACCTTGGTGCAGGACTCACAGCCACAGTTGAGTTAGTTCCTGTCCCAGGAATGAGCCAGCCCTGACAGCCACCCCTGGTCACAGCCCTGCAGGCTAACATCCCACCAGTCAGTCTCCTGACCCTTGGTCTAGATGCCAGGTTGCCCCATCTCCCAAAATGGCTCTTCTCAGGGAGGTTTTGCTATGTGGTCCTGTCCTCCCAGGAAGGGCACTGAGGCTGCAAGATACGACTGAGGTGACAGGGACACAAGACGGCAGAGACTGACAAAGCACCTCACCCAGACCTGGGGAATTTGGGACAACTCAAGGATCTATACTAAGGGCATTTGGGAGGGGGTCAGAGAAAGTGGCCCCTGAAGTCACAGGCACTGGGAGGAGGGGCACTGTTTGGTGTTCAAGGGGAATGGGCAAAGTTCCAGGTGGAGACCCTGGTTGGTCTAGAAAGAATGGGCCAGGCCTGGGGTGGGGGTCGGTGCTCCCTGTGCAGCACATCCCAGCAACATGGATTTTCATGGCAGCTGCACCCCCCACATACACACAGGAGGTGGACAGACTTCCCCTTAGGCTCACAGGCAGAAGGGGACAAGATAGTGCTGCGGAGCTGGGTGTGGTGGCACAGAGGCAGATGCAGGCAGATCTCTACAGAGCTCCGGGACAGGCAGAGAGAGCTATGCAGAGCAACCATATCTAGGGTCTTAGGGGGTGCTTATGGTCCTTGGGTGCAGGCAGGATGCGCAAGACTGGGGGCAAAGGCCACCTTTTCCCCCAATCACCATCTATATTCAGTTTTGTGACAGCCTCCCAAGAGAACCTAAGGGGAAGCTGGCTGGAAACAACATTTTATTGAACTCTCCTGGAAACAACACTTTATTGAACTCTTCACCCCAAAGAATCTAGTCCAGTAGATTCTGTGCCTCAAGGCTTCACAAACAGGGGTGTGGCCAGCACTCCCCCCACTGGTGGCCACAGGACCAGCCCGCAGAGAGAAAGGCAGGCAGGGGTCAAGAGCCAGCCAGGCCTTAAGGGCATTTAGCCAGTAATGCCCCTGAGGTACGGTGAATTCATTTGCCTTACAAAAACCCAGAAAACTTGTATGAAATCTCAGCACTATCCTGAGTTAAATATAAAAAAAAGGGACAGTCAGGAAACACCACAGTTAGGGTGCCGGCACCTCTAGGGGGGTGGTTGAGGGGCAGGGACCGGCCCTGCCCCACTGGGCTTCACTGAAGCTGCAAATGCAAGGCCTCGCCCAGCAGTAAGAGGACCAACAGCACCATGGGAAACATCTGTCCGCGGGCCTGGTCAGGTGACACCTGTGGGACCAAGAGGAAAGGGAGAATGAGGCCTAGGGACCACGTGGGGTGAGCAGAGACAGCTTCTGGGGACTGGGACCAAGCACAAGTTGGGGTCCTGGGACACAGTGTAAACATGGGCGTTCAAGTCAGTGGAGGTGAGCAGGGGAGCCGACACTGCACTGAGACCATGGCTGAGAGAGGGCCCCGTCTGCCTGAGGAAGGATCCTGGCAGCGGAGACCGGAAGGCATTGTTGAGTGTGTACTTGAACCTTCGCGAGTTCAGCAGCCAGTCAAGCAGTTGCTGCACACACTAAGGCTTCTGGGATGGGGCAGAAGTGGAAGGAAGCTCTAGAGAGGGCTGGAGACTGTGGCAAACCAGACAGCACACACAGTGGACCAGAGGCGTCAAGGCTCTTACCCTGGTGCCAGGAGTCAGAACTCTCCAGGACCAGATGTTCTCCCTGAGATTGGTGAGGCCACGAATCAGGCTTCTGAAAACCCCCCTGACACCCGTCTGGCTGTAGGTAACAGCGAGTCTGTAAGACATGGAACGGGCAAGGTGGTTATTACAGCAGCAGACACTGGATGACTGCACATATGACTCATTATGGCATGATGCACAACATGGCACACAGCCTCTGTGGTCCTCGGACACCCTGCTCTCTCCACTAAGAAAGTTGCCTCTTCCCAGACTGCGTTCTGGGTCTCTGCCCAGAGTGGACTTCAGCACTCTGAAGCCACTGAGTAAGTCGCTACCAACACCTGTCCTCCTCGGAGACCAAACGAGGGGCTGCCTCTGGGGTCTAGTCCACACTGCCCTGGGAGTTGGGACCTCTCAGGACTGTCCAGCTTGATGAGGGGCAACAGAAAGACCCTGGGTGGTGCTTGACCTACTACTACGGCCAGATGCAAGGTTGGGGGACTCAGCGAAGGGCTTCAAGCTTGCCTGGAAGTTCCCACACTTCTTCCAAGGTTTGCAGGGTGCCCTTAGGGCCCAGGCCTGTGCTGGTTCTGGCTCTACCTGCCCACCTGGGCAGCTGGCTACCTGTGCATGGCAATCCCGGGCAGTTGGGCCAGACGGGGGCTCCGCAGACACAGGTCCATCTCATCACCGATGTAGGCCAGCCTCAGGGCCACTTGGTTTCTGCAGGAAGATGCCAGGAAGTTAGGCACGGGTTATGCTGGGAGGTCATACTACCTACCCACCTGGGTGTTCCTGGGGGACTCAAGGCCCAGAGAGAGGAGGACAGTGGGTTACTGGGGGCCAGCAACAAACCTTGGTGTCCCTCTCATCCATGAGTACACTTTGGAGTAAAGGCCATTTCAAATGTGACCCTGCAGGATAGGCCACAGGCTACTGAGACATCAGAGGGGTCAATAGGGGACCTACCCCAGTCTGTAACCCATCTCTTGTGGAACTCAGAAACACAATACTGAGTGTCTCATGAACCTGTTTGGAAGTCAGGGACAACTTAGCCCAGAAAAACCATCACACCTGACCTTTCCCCTAGAGGATCTTGGGGAGGGGGCACTATCTGGTGGGCTTTGATGGTTAACAGTGGATGATAGAAGCAGTGGGGGTGCTCTGAGCCTCCTTCAACTGGGCCTTATTTCGTCTTCCTGCTCCAAGACCTGCCTCTGTCCCACTTGTGTCTACACCCTCTTCAGACCGAGAGTGACTAACAGGCCCTGGTCTAGCCACACTTGCTAAACCAAATTCCCGAGTGAGCCAGGTGTGATGGTTCACACCTTCAATTTAAAGAAAATCTTGCCGGGCAGTGGTGGCATATGCCTTTAATTCCAATACTCGGAAGGCAGAGACAGGCAAATCTCTGTGAGTTTGAAGCCAACCTGGTCTACCAAGAGCTAGTTCCAGGACAGACTACAAAGCTACAGAGAAACCTGTCTTGAAAAACCGAAAAGAAAAGAAAAGAAAAGAAAAGAAAAGAAAAAGAAAATCTCAGGAACTGGCAAGATGGCCCAGCAGTCAATAAAAAGCACTTGTTGCTCTTGCAGAAGACCCAGGTTCAACTCCCAGCACCCATGTGGTTGTTTCCAACCACCTGTAACTCTAGTATCTAGGGATACAACACTTCTGAGTTCTGCAGGCTCCAGGTATGTGCACAGTGCACGGACATACGTACAGGCAAGCACTCATGCAAGAAAAATCTTTAAAAAACGCAAAAATTCTCCAGTGAAATAAGAGACACTTGTGTGGTGAACACATATACACAATACTGAGTGGTTTGTGTCAACCTGACACAAGCTTGAATCATCAGAGAAGGAGCCTCAGCTGAGGACATGCCTCCATGAGATCCAGCTGTAAGGCATTTTCTCATTTAGTGATCACTGAGGGAGGGCCCCACCCATGGTGGGTGATGTCATCTCTGGGCTGCTGGTCCTGGGTTTATAAGAAGGTGGGCTGAGCAGGCTACGGGAAGCAAGCCAGTAGGCAGCATCCCTCCATGGCCTCTACATCGGCTCCTGCTTCCCGGATCCTGCCCTATTTGAGTTCCTGTCCTGACTTCCTTCAGTGATGACCAGCAATGTTGAAGTGTAAGCCTAATAAACCCTTTCCTCCCCAACTTGCTCTTTTGCCATGGTGTTTCATTGCAGCAACAGAAACCTGAACTAAGACATACACTGAAACCAGCCTGATTAAGCCTTTTATGGGGTTTGCCCGAACATTCCACCTCAATGACTCAGCAGCTCCTGGAAAGTCCCTGCAGAGGGGATCTTAGGAGCCACCTGCACCACTGACCCCGTGTCCCAGGTCTCTCGATTCTGGTGGTGACAGGAGTGAGAGAAGCCAGCACAGTTGGTTGCCTGGCAACCGGGTTGGGAAGTTTTGATCCCACCTATACCCTGGGAACCCCCCCCCCCAAAAAAAAAAACTTTTCCAGGCTTCGACTCACTCAGGAATGGAGCAGGAAGTGAGGAAATAGGCACCCAAATAGCCCCATTTTAATGCCACGACCAGAGTGACAGTGAACTCTGAAGCTGAGGGCACACAGAGCGCCTGTACTAATCTGCCTGTGTGCAGAAAGACTCGCCGTGGCCAGTAGGGTTGCTCTTTTTCCACTGGGAAGTGAAGTGATGGGTCTCACAGCCTGAGCAGGGAGGGACCTTCCCTATCTGGACATAGTGGCAACAACAGTCATGCCCCTAGTGAAGCCAGAAGGCCCAGGTTGCCGCGTGCTGGTCCTGAGACCCAGGAATCACTGTCAGGAGCCCTGTGGGCTGCAGAGCCTCCTCAACCCCCACCGCACGCCTGCTCTATACAGAAGGCGCTGCTTCAACCCGCGTCCAGAGAAGGACACTGGTCAGCGGGCCCTACCTGTACTCCAGACACTCCACGAGGTCCAGATCTCTCACAGGACTAACATGTTCTTCTTCCACAGGCTCTTTCACGCTGGGAGGCCCAGGAGCCACTGGAGGCTGGGGGACCTGGTCATGCAGGACAGTCTTGATGAGGTCTCTGGCCATGAGTCTTCCCTCCGACATGTCCTCTGTGGGATAAAATAGGCCTAGCGTTACTAGATTCCCCAGAATGATGCAATGGGGGCCACTGGGGCTCAGAACATGAGACCAAAGTAGGCACTTGGCATGCTGGGTACAACAGAGCTCATGGGGACTGCAAGGCCTTGGAATCTGAACGTTCCCGACCCTCCTCTGCCCCCAGAATGAGTCACAGAAACCAGAGCTGCCGTCACCAAGGCCATTCACACAAGCTGGACTGCCTCTCCCAAAGCAAGTCACAAAGCTTGTAGTCCCGCTGTCCCTTGAAGACCAGGAAGCCCAAAGAATCTGAACAGACTTCCCACTGCTCCCACCGCAGTCTGTCACAAGAACACACTGTACCCTTTGTCCACGCACTGCCCAGTCACCAGACCTGAGCGTCAAACCCCGTTTCTCCAAGAGCTTGGAGACAGTTTGGACCATGAAATGCTTGCCTTCACCATGCAAAAACAAGGACCTGATTCCAGAACCCAAGGCTGGACATAGTACCACATGCCTAGAACCCCAGTGCTGGGGAACTAGAAACAGGAGGCTTTCTGGGGCTTGCTGGCCAGCCAGCCCAGTTTCATCAGTGAGCCCCAGGTTCCAGATGCTGACTCAGAAACCCAAGTCATGGCTGGAGGCCCGGCTCAGTCATTTAGAGCGTGTACCGCTCTTGCAGAGGCCCAGAGTTCGAGTCCCAGCATCCATGCTAGCAGCTCACAACCACTTATAACTCCAGTTCCGGGGGATCGGAAGCCCTCCTTTGCCCTCCAAGGGCACCTACTCTCTCATGCACATACCCACACGCCCCGACACTCACAGTTACAAATAAATCTTAGGGGGAAAAAAAAACGGAGGTGGACAGTTCCTGGCAAACAGCACCCAATGTTGACCTCTGGTCTCCACATACATGCATACACATATACATACACACGTATGTGCATGCACACACACACGCAACAGTCATACACACAAAATTGCCCTATGTCTCCAGGTCTTCGTGTGTAAAGGCTCCTTGAGATAGAAAATGTGACTGTCACTTTCCTTGCTCTGACTGTCTGTGATAGAGACACGGGCTATGAACCCTGTAACGGGGAAACATGTCTGGCTTTGCGGCCCTACACCTAAGAAGGACCATCTTGCCTTGGTGGCTGTTCCTTCTGATCTGTCTTCAACTCTGCAGCCTCTGCTGCTCCAGATCATGCTCTACACAGGCCGTGTGCGGATCACCAAGACCTGGGGCTCTGAAGTGAGAGGATGCTCAGGATGTTCTCTACTGTAAGAGGGGCCCAGCTCTGTCCCTCGGGACGGGATGGGAAAGCCCAGGCAAACATATCTGTGCATGCATGCATGTGCGCGTGCGCACACACACACACACACACACACACACACACACCATGCAAAAAAGGAACTAAACCAAGCTCCCAAGGAGAGCGCTGGCTGCCTCAGCCACTTTACGAAGTGCACACCCAGTTGGTTTTGTTGCTTTTTTTCTAGGGACGGAACTTGAACCTCATGCAAGATAAAATAAGACAGACAGTGGGGTGGTGGTGCACACTTTTAATCCAGCACTTGAGAGGAAGAGGCAGGTGGATCTTTGAGTTCGAGGCCAGCCAGATCTACAGAGAGAGTTCCAGGGCAGCCAAGACTGCAGAGAAACCCTGTCTTGAAAAGCAACAAGACAGCGTGCCGCCACTGGACTCCACCCTCCGGCCCCCCACTCTTCATTTATTTATTTATTATTATTTTTTGTTTCAGTGTGTGTAAGGTGGAAGAGGGCACATGCCACATGCACACAGGGAGGTCAGAAAACATCTCTGTGCAGCTGGTTCTCTCCTTCCACCTTCATACGGGGTCTAGGACTCAAACTCAGGTCGCTAGGTTTGCACAGCAAGTACCTTACCCCCTGAGCCATCCTTTGAGACAGGGTTTCTGTATGTAGCTCTGGCTGTCCTGGAACTTCCTCTGTAGCCCAGGCTAGCCTTGAACTCAGAGATCTGTCTGCCTCTGCCTCCTGAGTGCTGGGACTAAAGGAATGCGCCACCACCGCCTGGCTTGTTGGTAAACTTAGTGAGCAAAAAACTTGCTCACCTAGAAGTAAAGCAGTAGACATCACACAAATCCAGCAGGCAGATTACATGGAGAAGGCATGACAGGCACTGGCTCAGAAGCGTCATTACCTCTGTGACATTCGGAGGACTAATAGTGCCCTGGCCTGGGAGGTCACCTACTGGGGACAGCTACATAGAACATGTAAGGAGGTCACGAGTCGCCTGAACTACCATATCTCTGCATGGGGCATGATGTGTTGCAAGGGTCAAGAGCACAACAGACTGGGTGGAGAAGTGTGTGGTGCAGAGTGTCTCTCTGCACGGCAGGAAGGGAGGCAGCTCCAAGGGCACTGTGGATCTAACGCCGCCTTAAAAGAAGGCTCAAGCTCAGCCAGTTATGTGAGCGCATCTATCTCAACTGAGACGAGATGGAGAGTTAACTAAGGGAGAACTCGTCTGCATGGCGAACTCTTCTTCTATGCTCTGCTGCAATGACAGTGTACCCTTTCTAAGAAACGATCAAGGTCCATTTGGTGGCTAACACCCACCGCTCAGTCAGCAAGTTATCTCCCATCCTTGCTCTGCATCTGCAATTGTCTGGTGATCCATTCTGAATATGCGATTTGCAGCAATGTGCTGCCCGGCTAAACGGAACTAGTTATGAGCTTGTAAATAGTTACATCACCTTGTAATGAAGTGATGATTCAAACAGAAGAGAAAAGGGAAAGGAACCATCCAGGACAGGGCAGCTCCCCTCCCGACTGTCGTGAATGTAGGGGTGAGGGCCAGAGCTGCAGCAGCCAGTCAGGGACGGTAGACAGGGTAGTAGAGAAAGCCTGGCCCAAGCAACTGCAGTACTGGAAGCCACACCCTGCCTTCTCAAGGTTCAAATTCCCAGTTTCCAATTCCTGTGGTCAGAAGCTTCTAGACCCCTCACAGTGGTGACTCACACTTCAGTAATGGTTGGTTCCATCTCCACTGAGACAGGCTGGGTGGGACTCTGTGACTGACTCATCAGAGTGAACCCCACATGGGACCAGGCAGCCTTGATATCAAGGCAACAATAGTGTGATCTAGAAGCTCTAACAGCCCAAGTCAAATGCTAGTACACAGGCAGGAGGATTGATTTGAGTTCAAGGCCAGTCTAGGGAGACACAGAAAGTTCCAATCCAGATAAACCTTAGTGTGACACAGAGACTTTGTTAAAAAAAAAAAAAAAGCCAGTTGGCATATCTTTAATCCCAGAATTCAGGAAGCAGAGGCAGGTGCATCTTTGTGAGTTTGAGGCCATCCTGGTCTACAGAGCGAGTTCCAGGACAGGCTATGCAGAGAAACCCTGTCTTGAAAATCCACAAGAAAGTTGCATTGAGCAACTCTACCTAAGAACCCAAAATTCAAAACTTTGAGCCCCAACATCACACCACATGTGTGATAACTCAAAGTATAGGAACTTTAGCCCATGCACAGAACCACTTAATATTACATATAAATTACCTTCACCTCGTATGTGAAAGTGCATAGAAGAGCTATCTGAATTTCATATGTAGACTCTGACCTCAACCCCAAGATAGCTCTTTTGAGCCAAGTGATGGTGGCTCATGCCTTTAATCCTAGCACTCAGGAGACAGAGGCAGGTGGATCTCTGTGAGTTCAAGGCCAGCTTGGTCTAGAAGAGCTAGTTCCAGGACAGACCCTAAAGCTACAGAGAAACCCTATCTCAAAAAAACAAAACAAAACAAAACAAAAAAACAAATGTATGTATGTATGTATGTGTATATATATATACATATATATATTTTGCATGCATGCACATGTGTGCATGTGTGTGTGTGTATAGGTGTGCATGAAAAGGCCAGAGATCAATGTTGGTGACTTCCTTGATTGCCCTCATTTCTTCCTTGACTATCCTAGTTTCTGCTAGCCTGACTCGACAGCAAGCCCCAGGGATCCTCCTGCCTCGGCTGCCCCTGCACTAGGATTGCAGGCAAGCACAGCCAGGTTTGGCTTTCTGAATTGGTACTAAGGATACCAGCAGCCATCTCCTGCACCCCAGCCCTTAGTCTCAAATCCAAAAGACTCTGGCGCCCATTCTGAAGACCATACACAGGTCATGCAGGCTTGAGCCTGTTTCTCTACCCTGCACTAGGCTGTGTCCAGACTGGAGATTCCTTTATTTTACCTCCCAACAACCGAGTGAGGGGCAGAGCACAAGACCCTGGCTTCATCCCCAGCATACACAATGACACACAAGAACCAACTTAAACATGGTAAGACAGCACCAGGTCTTGGAAAAGTTCATGCTTGAGCTAAGAATAAACAGTGACCCAAGACTTCCCGTCCCTAGGACAAGGCAGACCAATGTCCATTATAAGGTGAACCGACTACAGCACACTGCATAAAACCGTTTTCCTGAGGCCACCCGAGGCTAAACACCGCAGCGTCCCGCTGATCACTCCCTGCACTAAAGAAAGAGATGGTTGGAAGCTTAGGCCTTCGGGGGACTAGAATGTAAGCTGGGACCCTCCAGGTGTCTCAGGGCTGACTCGAGACAGGTGACTGTCAGCAGCGCAGCCCAAACGCGTGCATGCGATCAAGGAGCCGCTGAGTGCACACAAGGTGACATCATCAGCTACCACAGCAGGTAGGGAGGCGTGGTGAGCTCCAGGCTTTGAGAAGCCATATAAGGACAGCATTGTTCTTCCTTCCAGAAGTGGAAAAAGAATACCTGTCCAGAGTTTCTGTCTCAACAAAGAGGTGGCTGTCTCCCCTCCTAAGAGGAAGGCACAGGGGAGGCCGACATCTGTTCCCGACGACAGCTCAAGTCTCACAGGACAACGGCTGCAAGGACCAGAAGCGTAAACACAGCCACAGCAGCCGCACCTGCCGGGCAACACCTTCGCCTGGAGGTGGAAGCTGTGGGCTGCTGCAGCGGGAGGGACAAGGGCTCCACCTGCTCT